GCGGGTAAGATCTGATTTGTATATTGACCTGGGTCTGGGGCTTGGTCCTTTGGGATCGGGAGAAGCTTTTTTCTTTTACTGGGGTATTGGTTTTCATAATCATTTGTCCCCATAACGAGTGGCACTGGTGGTAATACTGGGAAACTGGAGCGTCTAAGGGAATTGCTTATAAGACTTGCGGTTAGCCAGTGGGGTGAGGCCGAAGTCCTCTTAGTCTGGCTGGTTTGGTGCCTCAGAGGTGGAGGAACCCCAGCCTTGGGCTGTAACTGCCCTGTTTGAGCAATTTGTCCTGGACTGACACTCTCAGTTGGGTCCCGCCAGAACCGCATCGTCACACACGCCCATGATGCTCTGCACGCCCCCAGAAGGAGTGCTGCCCTACGGCCGGAGCGAGGGTCCCTGTCCCCTCCCCGCAGGCTGCCCCGGGGCCGGGCAGGGTGTACGTACCGGAGACACAGGCCGTGTGGCACTCGCGGACTTGCTGCGCATCCCCCTCGCACGGGGCTCCGCCGTTGGCAGGTGCCGGGTTGGTGGGGGATCTGGAGGGGGAGGTAGTTAGGGAGAGTGATGGGCAGGGGGCAGCACAGCCGGGCGCTGCCCCACGGGACACAACTGCCCGGTGCCAGGGCGCTGCAGCCTACGGTCCCCCGGCAACGCCACAGTGACGGGGGACCTTGATTCTCCTCCCACAGGATCCCGCTTCCCGGCAGCGGGGAGACCGAGCTGGCGTCTCGAGGCACCCCCGCAGGAATCGCTGCCCCCGCGCCAGGGAGGGGAAGCACAGGCCGTGCCCCCAGCCAGGCCACGGGGCCAGCAAGAGAATTCGAGCGACACGGATGGGGCAGCCTGGAGGTGACCGAGGGGTCACCGCGGAGATTGAAATCCCCACTGAAAGCCGGCACACCCCAGAGCACAGCACCCCCTAGCGCTGCACTGGGGTCAGCAGTGACTGAGGGGAGAGCGCCCCCTACTGAGCTCCCTCCCGCACAGCACCCCTTACTGAGCCCTGCCCCGCCCCACAGCCCAGCGCCCCCCACCGAGCCCCCGTTCCTCTCCCCGCAGCCCAGGGCCCCCCTGCCGAGCCCCCGCCCCGCTCTGCTTGTGACAGGAGACCACCCCTGTCGAGCCCTCCAGTACGGCACCCCAGCCCAGCACTGAGACCAGCAGTCCCTGCATGTGCCCTACGGAGCCCCTACTCCAGCCCTGCGGCATCTGGTTTTCTTGGGGGTCACCCATCCTGGGACTGAACCAGCCTAGCCCAGCACAGCTTGCGAGACTCAGGGTGTCACAGGCCACTGTGCAGGATCTGAGAGGCCGGACCAGACATGGGCACTCGGCCCTGCCGTGCGAGGGTCTTGGGGTGATGCCCACCCGGCGAGGTCCCTGCACTCCCCCCTCCGCACCTGAATCTCTCCCGCATGCCGACTCCGCAGCTGCGGTCGCAGGGTGTCCACGGGGACCAGGCCGACCAGCCGCAGTTAACGGGGCAGGCCAGGTCGTCACACGTCACCACCCCGTCCAGGCACACGCTGGGGAGAGGAGACGCAGGGTCAGGGGGCCTGGGCCCAGGGCTCCCAGCCGCTTGTGCAGTGCACTCAGGGGGGCCGCAGGGCCATCGGCCGGCCGGGGCTGCAGTGAGGCCTAGCAGTGACCCGCACTCCAGCAGCCCTGGGCACAGAGGCTGCCCCC